TTCGCACAGTCAGACTGTACAGTCATAGTCGCTCACAGACTCCTCACGCTCGCATTTGCACAGTCAGACTGTACAGTCATAGTCACTCACAGACCCCTCACTCTCGCATTCACACAGTCAGACTGCCCTGCTGTGGATTCCCCCTGGTCATTGGGAACGTCCTTCCTACATTTCTCCTGTATCATGCTGTTAGAATGTTACAGGCATCTTTGTGGTTGGGCCTCCTAATGACTGACGGCTGCCTTATCCCCGATCCTGACACAGACACACATACAGGCATGCGTGCACAGTGACAGGCGCACACACGGACGGATGCACACATGTACGGGCGCACGCCCTCAGGTGGACAGATGCACAGGGGCACGTGCAGGCGGACACACATGTGAATATGCGTGCACACGGATGGGATGCGCACACGCACAGGTGCGCGCACGTGTGGACAGACATGCACAGGCGCGTGCGCAGACGGACACACAAACGTGCTGATGGACAAACACGAACGGATGCCCACACGTGGACAGGCATGCGCGTACACACATGCACACACATACGCACAGCCACACACATGAATGGACACACACGCACACGTGCACACATGGACAGGCGGTCACGCCATCACGTGCGCACACACACGAACGGATGCCCACATACGGACAGGCATGCGTGCGTGCATACGGACACGGATGGATGCATGTGCACACACACAGACAGAGACGAGCGCATACGCACGGACCGACACGCGCGCACACACGGACCGACACGCGCGCACACACGGACCGACACGCGCGCACACACGGATTCACACGCACACACATGGATTCACACGCACACACATGGATTCACACGCACACACACACTCACACACAATGGACGCGCATACACACACAAGAATCTTTCTCTTACACACGCACCCGCTCCCGCACACTCTCACACCTCACTGTTGTTACTGCACTCTGGAATCTAGGACAGCACCCTCTATGTAACAGCATTTTAAAAAAGAAATGGTTAATTGGATGTGAGGGTTGCTGGCAGGAAGGTATTATAGCCTATTTTTAATTGTTTTTGAAAGCTTGTATGTATTGGCTCTTGCTGTGTAACCGTGGGGAGCTGGGGCCTAGAGGCTAATTGCCAATCATGTGATATGAATGCGGATGTTGTTTGGGGTGGAGGACTTGTTGGGTTATAGTGAGCAGCAGGCTCTGTGTCTCACTGTTCTCTCTGTGCCTGCTGACTGTCCATGACAGTATCGGTAAGAGTGACCATTGCACGGTCCTTGTGGAGACGAAGTCCCGCCTTCACATTGAGAATAACCTCCATCATATTGTGTGGCACTATCACCGTGCTAAATGGGACAGACTTCGCACTGATCTAGTAACTCAATACTGGGCATCCATGAGGCGCTGTGGGCCATCAAAAGCAGCAGAATTGTACTCCAGCACAATCTGTAACCTCATGGCTCAGTATATCCCCCACTCAACCATTACCGTCAAGCCGGGGGATCAACCATGGTTCAATGGAGAGTGCAGGAGGGCATGCCAGGAGCAGCACCAGGTATACCTAAAGAATAAGTATCGACCTGGTGAAGCCACCAAACAGGATTACTTGCCAAACAGCGAAAGCAGCAAGTGATAGACAGAGCTAAGCAATCACACAATCAATGGATCAGATCTAAGCTCTGCAGTCCTGCCACATCAGTCATGAATGGTGGTGGACATTAAACAACTCACTGGAAGAGGAGGCTCTACAAATATCCTCATCCTCAATGACTGAAGAGCCCAGCACATCAGTACAAAAGATAAGGCTGAAGCATTCGCAGCAATCTTCAGCCAGAAGGGCCGAGTGGATGATCCATCTCGGCCTCCTCCAGAGGTCCAGAGCATTACAGATACCAGTCTTCAGCCAATTCGATTCACTCCACGTGATATCAGGAAAAGGTTGGAGACACTGGATACTGCAAAGGCTACAGACCCTGACAACATTCCGGCAATAGTACTGAAGACATGTGTTCCAGAACTTGCCGCTCCCCGAGCCAAGCTGTTCCAGTACAGTTACAACACTGGTATCTACCTGACAATGTGGAAAATTGTCCAAGTATGTCCTGTACACAAAAAGCAGGACAAATCCAACCTGGACAATTCCCACCCCATCAGTCTCCTCTCGATCATCAGGAAAGTGATGGAAGGTGTCAGTAACAGTGATATCAAGCAGCACCTGCTCAGCAATAACCTGCTCAGTGACGCCCAGTTTGGGTTCCGCCAGGGCCACTCAGCTCCTGACCTCATTACAGCCTTGGTTCAAACATGGAGCTGAATTCCAGCGGGGAGGTGAGAGTGACAGCCCTTGATATTCAAGGCTGCATTCGACCGAGTGTGGCATCAAGGAGCCCTGGCAAA